AGGAAATGCAAGAATTATTTTTAAAATAAGTGAATTTAGGTTTTGGAAAATTAAAATAGTTTGAATTTGTTGTAATTTTCAAATTTGATTTGTATGTAATAACATGGAATAACCCGCTGTTACTTGTTGCTGCAGCTAACCACTGTAATGGGGAAGACGAGTTTCAGCACGTGGATCGCCATCCGAGTGGGACTCACATGGACATTTAGGTCAGTAAGCTGATCTGTGTGATTATCTTTGTGAACATTGGTCAGTAGACATACTCCACACACACACACACACAGTTAATAGCTGTAGCTTCCAATGATAGGTGACATTAGGGTGACCAACTTTCGGTCATGAATTTAAGGGAGATTTAGTCATGACAAATTTTGCGCATTTTTAGCGGCGCGGCGTCAGTCCAGCAAACGTTCATGGAATGGATAATATTAAACAAAACAATTAATTTACATTGTATATAATATACAGGTCACAATATAGAATAAATTTTACAAATTTGCATGTTTCTTAGTCCTAACCTATATGTATTTGTCCACTGATGCTGCAGAACTAAGCATTTTTTTATCTTCTTGTGCAAATTTAAAAAACTCTTTACAACTATAGTCATAATTAATTGCTACCATTAGCTCTGACTTAATTAGTTCTAAGCTGCTTTGATTTCTCTGATCAGTCCATTTATCGCTCATCAGTGAAAAAATTCTTTAAGTATGGGCATTTGAGCCTGGGATGCTTAAAACAAAGCCTAAGATCTTAATAAGGTTTGGCACATCAATTTGTTTGTTTCTTAAATCACTGAAAATATTGACCCAACTTTGTTCTATACGTCCTGTTTTTACCACATTCAGAACACTTTTTGCACTAGAAAACTCTTCATACAGGCTGTCCTCATTTACAAAATCAAGATTAAATTCTTTTACAATGGTTTGAAAATGTCTGAAAGAAAGTTCAGTGTTTAAATTTAATGGCAAAAGACAATGGACAGGATTTGCATTTGATAACTCAAAATTCTTAGAAATGTACTTGTGCAAGCAACAGTAGAAATTAACAAAATCATCTCTAGCACATTTCTGCAGGGGTGGATTCAAACAATTTAACATTTTTTCCATGGCAGTACCAAAAAACCTGTCCTCTATCCTCTGCTGAATTTTATTGCCTACACATTGCATTACACTGCAGCATTCCATGATGCTAAGATTAGCAGTTTCAACAATTGTGGCAGACTGAACAAGTACTGCACCAATTTTGGGAAAAAAAAATTAAGACATGCCCCAATGACACGCCTTTTCTGCATCTTTATCACTGAAATGTTTTTTTAATATTTTTGGACAGTCATTCACACTTTTGAAATAACTCTTAATAGGTAACCAGTTTTGTATTAATCTGTCCACAGCTGATGTTAGGGAAAGCCAACGAGTGTGCACATAACGAACAACCTCCAACCACTCGGCATCAACAAGATCAAAGAATGACTCCAACTCTTCTCTTCTTTTTGCTGATACTGAAAAGTGTCCATATATTTAGCGGCCTCCATAGTCTAGAGGAAACGTTCCCACCTCATGACTTGTAGTACGCGGGTTCAAATACCCGGCGGAGGTTGTCGAATTTTTAAGGGCAGAAAAATTCAGGGAACAAGTCCTCCAGGAGGGACTTTAAGCTGTGGGTCCCGTGTCGCAGCTTTACGGCATGTAAAAGAACCTCATACCTCCAAAGGAGGTCACTGAGCCAAAATTGCGGACGTTTCCCCACCCAAGAGCAGTCACTAATACCTCTGGTAGATGGGGGAAGCATTATAGATACCTCTTAGCTAGTAGAGCCAGTCTCGCTGGCTGGGCAGGACTGATGGTAAGCACAAATACCGGTAGGATATAGAGACTGGTAGAAATCATAGAGGGAAGCACAATGGACCACTTCAGGTCTAAGTGCATGGGGAAACCCACCCTCTCCAATAACTAACTAACTAAGATGATCATTTCAATATCCACATCTAATCCATTAGATGCATGTTTTGTGTCATTATGCAATATATGATTTGAGCAGTTTGCTTTAAGCACATTTTTGTTATTTTCTTGTAGTAGTTTGAACACAGAATTATGCTTCCCATAATTCACATCTGCATTATCTGCACAATATGAAGTTAAGATTTTTTATATCTAACTTGTGTGTATCAAGTGAAGATGTGATCAAATTATGGGTAGCATTAGCTGTTTCATCAGCTTGTTCAATGAAGTCCAGGAGCCTATTTTTAACACCACTAAGAGGGTCAGAATACCTCACAACCAGCGGGAATATCTTTCTGTGTTTGTGGTTGGAGGCATCAGTTGCAATAGAGAAAAAGTTGCTTGATTTTGCTGGATCCTTCAACACATCGATGAAGTCTTGCACAATTCTTGGCGCTAGAACATTTTTCACAATAGCCTCTGCCTTTGTTCAGCCAAAGGACATCTTCTTAGCCAAGTTAAAGTCATGGAAAATATCCTTCGATAACTTATTTGCGCAATCCATACTTCTGTAGCCGATGTTGTGTTTTACAGTATGGAAAACCAATGCTAGCTCACCTGCAACGTTTTTGAAGTCTTTGCTGCTGTTCCCGAAAAAGAGGTGTAAATTTGAAGAGGTCTTCACGTCCCTTTCCTTTCGTTTATGCCCTTCTGTGCAAGAATGTTGTCTGCAGTCGGTATTACCCCCGTGAGCGATGCTGAACTCACGTTTACAAAGTATACAATAAGCTCTGTAAACGTTGGAGGGCACGGACTTTAACCATAAATACAATAAAGAAGCACAAACATTGTGTTCTTTGCACATTGCAACATGGCCTTGCTGCAATGAAGTTGTTGTGTGAGTGTTGGAACATAATTATCAATGAAGAGAAAACTGTAATTGTAACTGAAAACTGTATTTTAGTTACTGTGCTTGGATAAATGCTTGATTGTTTTGCAAAATACAGCACATACTTAAGGATAAGATTACATTTTAAGTATAGTAATTCACATGCGACCTTGTGTGGGACACACATGCATGTATACCCACACACAAAAGCTTCCATATTAAACTTTCAAAGCATTTTCCATATGTAAGCCATACTGATTATGTGAATTTTCACTTATACTTCTCTATACACTTACTCAGAAAGTGAAAAAACTGAAACAACTGCTTCAAAGATTATAAAAATCACTAGCCTTTACATTATATCTCTGAAATAATATTGACCAGAAGGTAAAAACTGTTCTCAACTGGCCCTTTATAACAAGTAAATTACTGCTGAACTTACCTGCAGAAAATCTACACCTTTCATGTAAGGCTAGAATATCAACGTATATAGACGACCATTCATTTCTTAAAAACACACAGCACAATGAAGGCTAGCAGAATATTAAATTATAACAATTCTTGATTTTCTTTCCCTTATAATGACATTAAATATTATAAAAATTAAACATATGTTACTGCTCTTCATTCATACTTCACACTAATAATAATAATAATAATAATAATGTATAAACACTGTAGGATTTGACATTCACACAGCAGTGGTTATCAAGAGTTCTATCTTCTGGGATTTAATGCCATGCAGTCCACTGAAAGTCAACTGACTACATGGTGTTATATATAAGAAGACAGAACTCTTCATGTATGAACACTGATTATAAAAGATTAAGATCTCAGAAATTCTCTCCAATAATGTGGAAGCCATGAAGAAACTGTTTCAGTTTACATTGGCAGATAATTTCATTTGAGTTCAAAACAGAGACTTATCTCCAGAATTTCACAAGTAAAAATAATGTGTTTCTGATGGAGAAATAATGTATACCAACATTTCTTGGCAATTACTGAAATACCTTGAACTAAATGCTTAAAACGTTTTGTGAATTTGAATATTTTGGGGGGACAGAATTGGCAAGAAAACATAAGTAGAACCATAATGTTAATATATAACAGCTGTATATGCGAAGTCTTATTCTTTAAGTCATGGCTCTTTCACTTCTAAGAGCATCTGCTGTCTTCTTTATTGAGTATCCATAGTATTTGTTTTATTGCTAGTGGGGTGGGACTAAGTCCCCTGCACTGCAGCCACTTCTGGCCTATTGTACCAGCCCCGAATGATAGGTGAGGGTGATTATGGAGCAACTGGTGGAATGAAGATTGGCAGGGGAAACCGAAGTACTCGGAGAAAACCTGCCCCAGCGCCACTTTGTCCACCACAAATCCCACTTGACCAGACCTCGGATGGAACCCAGGCTGCCGTGGTGGGAAGCCAGCGACTAACTACTTGAGCTATGGCGCAGCCTAATTTGTCAACTTACTAGACCATAAGACAATGTAAAAAGGGAACCAAACCTGAATAAGAAAACCAGTTTCCTATGAAACTTTAAAAATTCTGCCATTTCATATACTTAGAAGTGTATGAAAATATTAGGACCTAAGAATTTAGTATATTACATAATGAAAACTTGTCTCAATTGTGATAGTTACCTCTGTCTCTAATTCCTCTATTCTGAAATATTGCTATAAATAGTTCGGCAGTAATGATAAAACCATTCATCAATGGTACCCATCAAGTTGAACCTTTGCTTTACCTTCAGTTTTCATTTGGGCAATGCCTTTTTTTACTTCACTGTGTGACCACTAAGGTAATGCAACAGAGTGGTTTTAGTCTGCAAGCGAATCATACCGACTGAGCGACTGCCGCTTGTTGGCGAAGTTAGTGCCAACTTTAGTGGATAGAGGGTGTCACGTGGTCAGCGCAATGAATCCCCATGGCTGTAACTGTTATCATGAGGCTGAGTGGACCCTATTCCAGACCCACTACTTGTCAGAAAAAATATGACAGCACCAGGAATTGAACCTGGACCTCCAGATCTGTAGCCAGGAACTCTAACCACTAGACCACAAAGGGGTCAACTCAGCCTCTAACAGAAATGAGTACCAAGAATATTCTTGGGGATAAAGGGCAGCCAGCACTTAAGGCTGACAACCTTACCGTCATCTATGAGCCGATGGTCTAGAAAATGTGGGAACCTCAACATCTCACAACCCTATGGGGCTCCACGGCCTGTTACAGGGATACCTTTACTTAAGGTAATGCAATGATTCTAAAAACCCAGCAATAGCATGTCATTTTACATGGGACTGCCACTTCATTAATGTTTCTTATACTGCTGATGCCATTTTAAGGTTCAGAGAAGATTTGAAACAAATCTGTGAGAAGTGAATAATCATACCAAGTACACAAGATATATTACTTAAGTGCATGTCTGCACTTTTGTGCAAAATGAAGATTCTGAATTCAGAAATGGTCATGTCCCAGCTTGCTGACCTAACCTTCTGAGGCAAATTTGTTGTATTTTTGTCTGTCCAAGTTTCTCAGCTTCATGCAGTATTTTGCGTACATCTTCCAACCGATTGTACTTCACTGCCAGTAGATATGCAGACTTCAGTTGATGGCACTTGATGTATGCTGAGATCTGGTAACAGTTAAACAGTCAGACAAATTTGAATTTAAAAATGTATATTTACTTTAAAATGATTGGCCATGGGCTGGACAACTGAGGAGTTGGTTTTCAAGTCCTGGTACTGGGCAATATCTTTCTTCTCTCCACACTGTTCAGACTGGTTCTGGGGCCCACCCAGCCTCCTATACAATGGGCACTGTGGGGCTCCTTCTCCAAGGGTAAAGCGGCTGAGGCATGAAGCTGACAACTCACCTCCAGCTAGTGCCGAGGTCAAGAATATCTGCTCCCCTGTACATCTTCATGGCATAATGCTTAATTAGTTAAGCACATGGAGTTTACTTTACAAGGTAAAAAGGGTGCAGTTGTCCCTATGCTCAACTAATTAATCAATACACCATGAAAATATATGGGAGAGTGGATGTATAGATACATATTTTCTTGACCTCGGCACTGGCTGGAGTTGAGTGATCAACTTCATGCTGGCTGCCTTACCCTGAGGGGAAAGAGCCTCAGGTACACATTGGACAGAAGACTGGGTGGGCCCCAGAGCCGGTCTCGATGGTGTAGAGAAAATTCTTGACCCTATCAGGACTTGAAATCTGACCCTTCAGTCGTCCAGTCCATAGCCAGTCACTATACTATTCCGGGTACCTTAGTTTACTTTATACTTATTTTTAAAATTTTCTGATCATGCATCACACCACTGTGATGGAATGCCCTTGGTTTGAAGGACTTGTCAGTTTTGAGGTAGCAACACCTGAATGATTCAGAAGGAAAATGAAAATAAATACAAGTTTTCTCATGAGTTTGTACTTTGTGTGTGGATGGGCTGGTAGGAGGGGCAGTACACTGCCATCAGAACTGTTGAACACAGGCTAGTCTTATTATGCTAGTTATAAAGTGACCGAAACTAATAGTTTCTCATGTGTTTGTAGTGGAAAGGGGGAATGACGGTAAAGAGACAGGTGATAGGAGGAATGAAGGTGAAGAGACGTGTGATATGACTGGCTATACTTATGATATGAGTGTATACTTGGGAAAGAAGAGCTAAAATCCCACACAGATGATGACAATTACACATGTGATAGTGAAACTCAGTAGAACAGAGGGGCAATGCCCATGTACATCTCCCACCTTCCCAGTCTGTCCAACATGCCTCACTCTGATCATACAAAATCAGCTGTACCCTTGATATTTACATTTCATTTAAGAGGTAACAGTCAAAATCCTTAATTCTTTAAAAATAGGTCTGCATGATATTATGCTAGTTACACCTTTCATTAAACAAAGTATCCTTTCTTGTATATTCAGTACTTCGATATTTTTGCTTTCTCCACCCCAAAAAATCAAACCATAACTTATTAAAATTTGAAATTTGGCAAAGTATATATACTCATAAACTCACTACTTCTTTCAAGGATTTAATAATGTAACATGCCTTATACAGTTTTAGACAGAAGGACTGAATATGTGACCTCCATTTTAGATTATGTGTTATATTGATACCAAAAAATCTGAATTGTGATGTATAATTAATTTTTATATTTTTGAAAGTAATAACTGGCTCTGAATACAGATTACAGTCTCTACAGCCCTTCTTTACTACATTGACCTCTGTGGTATACAGAGCCAATACACATTTTTACAGTGGACAGATTAGAGACTGCCACTTTGTTAACACAGGACTTTCGTTTATTACCATGACCACTTGAATGCTAGGTGTCCAACTTAAAATATTTTCCAGGGACTCAAAGAAAATAAGTACTTCCAATTTCATTCAGTTAATATATATTATTTACTGTCATAACTCACCTTGTTCCCTGGATCAACAATCAATTTAATCAAGGATTCAGTATCTCCTGGATTCTCTTTCTCAGACAATGCTTGCACACAAAGGACAAGAACAGTATCACACACAGGACTGGTGTCAGACACTCCTGAGCTCTGAATGCAAGAAATCAGTTGTTCTATGTCTGGAAGGCAGTAATCATGTGCTAACTTCATTCCAGCCAAGCTGTAAATCTGTGATGCTTTCAGATGGTAGTCCTCAATAATCCTTCAACAAAAAATAAATATACATAAGCTAAGTAATTTGACATGCAAGGTGTAACAAAATCAGAGTACTCTCTTAACTGGAGGCCAAGATCAACAAAATTTAAGTACATCATTTAATTTTAACTTTCAAATTTAAAACTTAGATTCCTATTTTTTGTATAATTCACTGATCCTTCCCTTGCTTCCACAGACACCTGGAACTGAGTAAGTTTCCATCTTTCTAGGTCCTGTAACCTACCTAGTTACCTAGGACACATAATATATTGTCTGCACTTGGGACAGAATTTGTATCATTATATCATTTACATATAGGATAATGGAATTTATTATTATATCTTGTATTCCTATTATATAACTCAGAATTTAACTTAAATTGATCTTTATTATTAACCACAAACATTGCAAGAGAAAATATATACTGAGATTGCAGGGGTAAAATAACCAGGCCGTTAATCTTGGTTTTCTAGACTGGAGCCGCTATTTCCTTGAAACAGCTCCTCAATTATCCTCATGAGGCTCAGTGGACCACGTTCCAGACCCATTCTCATAAAATCTGGTAGTGCCAGGAATCGAACCTGGACCTCTGGATCTGTAGCCAGGAACTCTGATCACTAGACCACAGATGCAGTCTATTTTATACATGATTAGTATTACTGTTTTGTTCAGTAAGTACTTGTGTTCCAGAGAGAAATTCCTTCTACAGGTGCTGACATTCATTTCTCATAAATGAAAGACCAAAATTCACCAACCTGAAAGCAAGGCCAAAACCTTCCTCGACATTTTTCCCACAAAGAATAGCCAACACTGCAAGCTGCATACGTTCTATATTGGCTCCAAATAAAGTAGGAACTGAATATGATGGAACTTTGGTGCCAAGAATTCCACTTGTTTGCATAAGTTGAAGTAATTCTGGTATTAAGTCCATAACATGACGCTGTTCTCTCTCACAGCTGTTCAAGAATTTGGTCACCTCTATTTGCCGAAAGATAGTACTTAAATGGTGATTAACTTCTCTTGGGTCCAGTTTCATTGCCAACTGCAATGCACTTCCCATTTTCTGCACTGAAACAGTCCACAAAAATGTCAGTTAATCAAATGTCACAAAGATCTTTACTGTGTAATTGCATACATTCCCATATCCTTATTTAAAGACTACGTGGTCTCATATACTCTTCACAAATGCATTCTCAATTCATTTTATGTTTTAAGAATAAGAGACTGAATTTTCTGGCTATGAAGAATATAAGTAAAAGTTTGTTTTCATATTCTAATTTTGGGGATGAAAAAATTAAAAGCACAATTTTCTCATATGCCATACTTTAAATTGTTACTGCCATGCTAAAACTGCTACGTGTCTTTGAAGGTATTCTTGTCTATTGTCTCTTATGGTTTTTGTTTGTGTTTGCTACCACTGCAGATGAAAATTATAAACGTTCAGTTTCAGCTTCATATAAAGCAGCATATATACTTAACTGATAGAGACAAAAAAATGATCAAAGAACTTTTGTCTTAGATTTCAATACCAAAGTTTATCATAACCTGACTAGTATTTTGGACGTAAAACATGCGGATAGACAAACACATCATCTTTATATGTACCCTTCATGACCTTCTGTCAAAGAAAGCATTAAAGCAGTAGCATACATAGAAATCCCCAATTAAAGACATCTTTAAATTATATTGGAACAAAGTATGAAAGAAAACCTTAAACACATAAACCATAATGATAAGGTTATAACAAACAATACCTGGTGAAGATCTAGTGCTGGTTTCCCACTGAGCTGTCAAAAGTTCATTTTCCAGGTGGCTCTGAGCTCTATAGAGATGCTCAAGATTGGAAGCCAAGTCACTGTAATTTCTTGCTCCCTTCTGATAAAACCGTATGCATGTCATTGCTGCACGAACATAATCATGCATGTAGACTTGCAATTGGTACAGCACATTCAGCAAGCCCTGTTTCTCGAAATGATAGCATACATGGCACAGGTACAACTGTAAACACAGTGTAAAGTAGCTGAAGAAATGGAGTATTTCTTACAAATCACACTGACAACATATACAGAGCCTAATTACTCTGAAAAAATATTTAAATATTTCACTCATAAATATACTTTAAATGTCTAATTAAATGCCAGGGTTAAAACTGTAAATAGATACTAGTGAAGAAATTGCAAATACTGGTACAGTAACAAAGGTTGGACAGCTATAAGTCCAACTTGTCAGTTTATGTACTTATGATGATATTAATGACTTCATCTAATAGTTCAGTATTTAACAATATAAGATAACTTATAAACTGGTATGTTTTAATTCTTTCAACAATTTAATGGAAGCAGAACTTTTTATTTCAATTCAATTAGTAAACATTTCCAAGTTCATCTACTGTGTTATGATGCAGTGAAGATTAAATTAAATTCAAGGGTTTAAACAGTGGCTAAGCATGAGGATATAAATTGTCAGTAACAGCCCAAAGCTTGCATTTAGGTACTTATGAAAAGTAAAATACGTTAACACTAGTATCATTATGGACAGAAGAACATATTCAATTTATGTAACTAGAATGTTTATGAGAACTGCTGATACAAACACAAGGTCATGTGCAAGGACTTACTTAAGGAATAATAAACTGCCCTCCAAAATTGCGATCTCATATCGTTTGTCAAAACACAATGAAACCCCAATACAACAATTTGTAAAATTCCTGAAAATGTTTGTTATAATACGCACCAGAAATATCTTGTTTTTTGGTCAATGTGCAATGAAAAGTTGGGAAAATTTCCATATTACTTTCACCATATTTGTCTCTCCACCCATCTGTCTGCACCTAACAAAATCGAAAACCACTAAATGGACTTGCATTAAATTTGATATTAGGGAGTATTACTACAATGTGTCAACATATTTTAGTTTCAGTTAAATATGGCAATGACAAAGAACACTTCCAAATTGCACTTCTGCATATGCTAAGTTACTTACTCATGGAGCTGAGCCCTTCTTGAGGAGAAGCTAAATCTGCAGCTACTCAAGAATTTCCCAGCAACTTATGGAACTTGAGGTTCATTACTGTGTTCACAAGAGCCCTCCACTGGTCCCTATCATGAGCCAGACCAATCCAATCCATACCAACCCACCCTACCTCTCTAAGATCCATTTTCATATTGTCCAACTGCCTACGCCACGGTATTCCCAGTGATCTCCTTCCGTCTGGCTTTCCCAACAATATATTATATGCATTCCTCTTTTCCCCCATTCATGCTACATGACTTGTGCACCTCATCTTCTTGACTTGATCATTCTAATTATACTTAGAGAAGAGTACAAGTTATTAAGCTCCTCGTTTTGTAGTTCTCTCCAACCTCCTGTCACTTCATACTTCTGCTTATAACTCATGCAAAAATCATACAACTCGACGTACACCCAGATGACAAAGAGAAAACAGCGTTTTCGACAGGGCAAGGGCTATGGCAGTTCACAGTCATGCCCTTTGGCCTCTGCAATGCCCCGGCAACCTTCGAACGGCTAATGGAGACAGTCCTACGAGGGCTCACGTACGATTCATGCCTTGTGTACTTGGATGACGTGATCGTAATAGGCCGCACATTCCAAGAGCACATGCTCAACTTACGGAAAGTGTTTGAGAGGTTCTGGGAAGCCCGTCTGAAACTTAACCCGGAAAAGTGTAAACTCTTGCAGGAAGAGGTCCGGTACCTCGGGCATATTGTATCACCAAAAGGGGTATCCACCGACCCGGAGAAGTTGAAAGCCATGCGAGAATGGCCGACCCCGAAGGATAAACATGAAGTTAGAAGCTTTCTGGGACTATGCGCATATTACAAGCTATTTATTTCAGGGTTTTCCAACATTGCGAAACCACTAACAAAAACCTGTGCAGCAATTGAGGAAACCAAACGGGAGTTCCAGGCACAGTTGGACATAGTACAAATGAAGGCCGAGCAGGGAAATACATCAACAATCGTCGCGAGCACAGCTCAGCCCCCAACATTCAACGGGAATTCAACAATGGAGCGAGTTCCGGCGACAATTCGAGACCGTAGCAGAGCACAACCAATGGACGGATAAGGAAAAATCGACGTACCTAATTACTGCCCTGAAGGGTCGGGCGGTGGAAATACTACCCGGCATTCTGACATATACAACTTATGAGGAAACACTTCAGGCTCTAGAGGACCGTTTCGGGGACCAACACTTTGCAGCTGCTTACCACTGCCAACTAAGAACGAGGACGCAGAGACCTGGAGAATCCCTGCAAGACTTTGCCACGGCCATTGAACTCCTTTCCCGTTGTGCCTACCCAAATCTACCTGCTGACCACATAGGAAGGGAGGCAGGAAAAGCCTTCGCATACGGAATACGAGATTCCGATATAAAGTTCCAGCTGCTGCTGGGAGGGGAAAAGACGGTAAACGAGGCCCTCCGACAAGTGCTAGAGCTGCAGGCGGTACTGGTAGCAGCCAGATCTCACGGAGATAGCACAAAGTTCCGATTGTCCCCCACCCAACGAGGAGATGACAATAGACAGCACCAGGACCAAAAAGAAGGACCTCCAAGAAATAAAAGGGAATCGCCGGGGAAATCAGAATGGTGACCCAGAAACAACAGGGAAACAAGCTGGAGAAAGGACCAACCGTCGGGAAACGAGCGACGGCCGGCGGAGATGGGCGAACGCCGGCATATGCCTTAAGGCCCCCACATTATGCCCTCACCGACATGACGGAGAAAGCCAACACCAGTCTGGTCACCCAGGGATTGGTCAGTGATAAACCGTGCCAGGTGACAGTGGACACGGGAGCATACGTCACGGTAGTAAGACCGGATATCGCCGCCGGATGGCCTGAAAGACAGCCAAACCCAGATTTCACGCTGCAGACCGTGTCTGGAGGATCCCTACCCATACTGAAAGAAGTTCTGTTGACCCTTACCCTAGGGCGCCAACCTATTACGATGTGGGTTTTTGTCGCGAATATCACCGATGAGCTCATCCTGGGACTAGACATACTGCGCGCCTATGATGCTTCAGTGGATATAGGGCGCCAAACTCTGCGTCTGGCGGATGAAGAAGTATCGCTATGGAGTCCTGGGGCAGGACCCCGTCCTTCTAGCTTAGTAGTGGCAAAGGACCATGTGATACCCGCACGGAACGAGGGAATAGTGATGGCAAAAAATGAAGAATCATCTGGGAGTAGAGAATGGTCTAGTAGAACCAAGCCCACAGGCCCATCCGCCTGAGGGAATCTACGTAGCCAGGACCCTTGTTCAGGACTATCAAGAAGTACCAGTGAGGGTCATGAATGTTACCCACAAGGACCAAAAGCTCAGGAGAGGATCCCCTCTGGCGCACTGTGAGCCAGTAACATTCGTGGCTTTGCCCGAAGTGGGGCAGCACCCAGCACCAGGTCTAACACCGAAATTAGCGGACGTGACCACAGCGGCCAAGCCACACCTAAGCCCCGGAGAATTTCAGGAGTTAGAGGATCTCGTGTCCGAGTACGCCGATATCTTCGCACAAGACAATGAAGATTATGGAAGGACAAACAAGGTATATCACCGCATAGACACGGGAGAAGCCTGACCAATTCGACAGCCACTGAGGAGAGTACCCCTGGCAAAACAAGTAGAAGTAAAGGAAATGCTTGAAAAAATGCGCGGAGGGGGGGTTATAGAAGAATTGGACAGCCCTTGGTCATCCCCAGTCATTTTGGTCACGAAAAAGAATGGGGAGCTCCGTTTCTGTGTGGACTACAGAAAGCTGAACGACGTCACCAAGAAGGACTGCTTTCCACTACCCCGCATTGATAACACACTGACTCTCGCTTGCTGCTCAGCCGGCTTTTATTCCGTTTGCTGTTGCTAGTGTAACGTGGCGTATAGCCTAGCAACACTGTTACCCCTTGGTGACGTCACCGCTGTTGACTCACTTTACATAGCTTCAAGGATGCTAGGACTCGGCTAACTTCGGCTCCGCTCATGACGTCACCACGGGGAGAGTTGCGGGGTGATGACTCGCCTATTACGCGAGCACTACGTTACCACTACGTGCCGCTGGGGAGGTAGGGGTCAACATGTCACACTGCTCCCTCCTTAAGGCTGTTCGTCCCGAATAGCCTAACCGTGCTTCCCCCGTTCCTTTTCTTTGGAGGCTGTTCTTGCAGCATCTTCTTTGTGTCCTTCTACTGTTTCTCTTCTCCCCGTTGCTCTGCTCTCCAACCGCCACATCTTCCCCCTTTTTATGGTTGCTCATCTCGAGCAGCTCCATGATAAGGCGCGAGCCGGTCGAGGTGTACTACCAACATCCTCGACCTAGGGGTCTTCTGGATTCGGTAAACCACGTCATTTATCCGGGTCACTACTTTGTAAGGACCTTCCCATGATGCTTGTAGTTTCGGCGATTTCCCCTTTCTGCGGGTTGGGCGATAGAGCCAGACTCGGTCGCCTTCGTCGTAACCTGCGGAGTTGGCCAGTTTATCGTACCGAGTTTTCATCCGGTCACTGGCAAGCTTCAGGTGTTGCCGGGCATAATTGTGGATGTCGTGCAGATGATCCACTAAGTCTGCTGCATAATCGGTTGTGGGTTGTTCCTTGTCTGGGGGTACTCCAAACAGCAGGTCGCAGGGTAGCCGTAGTTCTCGTCCGAACACTAGACCAGCAGGCGTCAGGCCCGTAGTGTCGTGAGTGGATGCCCTGTAAGCTAGGAGAAAGAGGGGTAACCTCTCGTCCCAGTCCCGTTGGTGGGATGAGACGACCTTCCGCAAGTGCTCCTCGATGGTCTTGACGTAGCGTTCCACCATGCCATCCGACTGTGGGTGCAGGGGTGTGGTGCGCATCTTGCTCACTCCCAGGCGTTGCAAAACTTCTTTCAGTAGATGAGACTTGAAGTTACGGCCTTGGTCACTGTGCAACTCTCGAGGCATGCCGAAGCGGCAGAAGAAGTTGGCAACCAGAACTTCCGCTATTGTAGAAGCCTCCTGATTCGGGATGGCGTACACTTCCGGCCACTTGGTGAAGTAGTCCATAGCGATCGGAGCCGAAGTTAGCCGAGTCCTAGCATCCTTGAAGCTAAGCGAGTCAACAGCGGTGACGTCACCAAGGGGTAACAGCGTTGCTAGGCTATACGCCACGTTACACTAGCAACAGTGAACGGAATAAAAGCCGGCTGAGCAGCAAGCGAGAGTCAGTGTGTTATCAATGCAGGGTAGTGGAAAGCAATCCTTCTTGGTGACGTCGTTCAGCTTTCTGTAGTCCACACAGAAACGGAGCTCCCCATTCTTTTTCCTGACCAAAACGACCGGGGACGACCAAGGGCTGTCCAGAAAACTGTTTTAAACAAAAGTTGTAGATAAGAACTAAACTCACATTTCATGTTAAATGCACTTTTCCTATAAGTTGAACAGAATCTGAGGTAATGACACAAAGACACTTTTATGCCGTCTACAGGCAATAATAGAGCCAACAGGCCAGAACTGTTATGCAGACATTCCCCAAGTTGTTGGAAGTGGTTATCATGTAAACATGAAGCTAATGTTCTCAATGTCTTTCCTACTGTCTGAACTGAGGATTTAACTATTTTGTCATGTTATATTTTAGCGTCCTGTTGCACTGATTTAAGTCCATGATTTATTTAATCCGTCTTGCAGTGCATACACTCATTTATCTCCTTCTCTCCCTCGCACTACATGTTTCGGCATAATAATGCCATCTTCAGGTGCTTACTTATCCACGTCAAACCAGTTCATTGCATGCCATGTTCACACATTAAAATAACTAAAATATGTATCTATCATATACATTGTCAAACGTTAAAAATATTAAAATTGTTCAGGATACCACATCGCTACGTCGCCCCTCACTACGGCAGTCACGCCCATTCTCCTTTGTTGGAGCACTCCTTCATTATCTTGTGTGTTGTGCTTTTGTTGTGTCGTGCTCCTGCGACTGCGTGTGTTATACTGTTGGGCTTCCTGGGTCATGCTTACTCTTGTACCCACAGCCATCAATCAATGTTTCTTTGATTACAAATTAGAATGGCTATGTGTACTATGCACTTCAGCTTCAGAATGGCAAGAACTTTCTATGTTGGCATTCAGTTCTCAGATTTTGGAATGCAATTTTTTTTTCACATAGGGGAAAGGTGCAGGGTGTGGTTTAACAATACCTTCATGGACTTTCAGCTATAAATAGCTTGGGAAGCAAACCTGAAATAATGGTTCATCTTGTTTTCAACTTGAAGTACAGTCCTTTAAAACATAAAAGTAAGATTTAATAGGTGTATACAATTTCCTACAAGAGACAGGGAGGGCTGTGTATGTATTCATCATTTTTAATGAAATTAAAGCAATATAAATTCCTTATCAAATTAAGAAATTAATCTGGTTTACCTTACAGTTTCAATTTTTTTTTTGTTCATACTAATGATTTAATTTTATCCACTTTAAATTTTGTAAGTCCTTCAGAAAACAAAAAAAGACAGTAATACAAATATCTGGCCATGCTCAAGCTCAAGCGGTGAGTCGCTGGCTTCCCACTGCGGTGGCCCGGGTTCGATCCTGGGTCCAGTCCAGTGGTATTTGTGGTGGACAAAGTGGCAATGGGGCAGGTTTTCTCCAAGTACTTCGGTTTCCCCTGCCAATCTTCACTCCACCAATTGCTCCACAATCACCCTCACCTATCATCTGGGGCTGGTACAATAGGCCAGAAGTGGCCGCAGTACAAGGGACTTAGTCCCACCCCACTAGCAATAAAAACACAAACAAATATTTAGTACATGTCCTTCAACAAAGGTCTCTACAAAGGATTCCAAGTGTTCCAGCCAATTTTATCTATCTGATGTATAAAAAATTTAGGGACTATAATGAACATAAAATTTATGAAAGCAAGGAAATTCATTCAGAAAGTACCACCATATATTTCATACTTACATTAAATATGCTCAATGAGATAAGATTAGAAGAGACAAGCATAAGAGAAAATTAGGGTTATAGATATTTTATGTATTATAATTTTATACCTTCCATACTTCATGTGTCGGATCAACGGCTGATAGCTCCTGATGCAGATCTGAGATGAGACCTTGGCGTAAACAAGGAATGTATATCATGTCAAGAAATACCTCTGGATCTACTTTCTGAGAAAGAACGTGTTTTAAAGCTTCTACCAGATCATCATGACTGAGGTAGAAGCTGATGATTCCTGCATGACTACCATATGATGTGAGATAGTAGCGACACTCTTCATAAAATAAGGGATCTAATTTGGGACCAATCACAACAGTGTTCAATGGTGGTGTTGTTTGTGGATAATTGCCATGTGCAACTTCCTTTAGTGATGACAAGGAATGGAGTACCGTTAGGGCTGGTGATGTGAGAAGCACAACCGGTACAGCTCTTGAAGCTCGAATCTTGTCAGCTTGCTGTAACACTTTGCGGTCTACTGTGTATGCTCCCTCCTTTAAGATTTGTATTATCTCATTAAGTAAGGGAGGGCTTCGAGGAGGACGAGCCGAGTCTGGTCCCAGGGACACTTTTTCAAGACAATGGGAAAACTTTTCGCGTGCCTCATCCCAACAGCCTGCTCTCAAACATGCTTTTCCCCATGCTGCCCAAACTCCATTCCGATCAAGGCCACTCTTTGTAGACACCTCCATGGCAAGCATCCATAGCTCCTCCTCCACCAAGCGATCACGCAGGTGGCGCAAGGCATGACCATTCAGTGGCTCTGCTGGAATTAGGGCAGAGCAACCACTCTTCACGAGCATGTTGAGCAAATCCACCTGGCTCAAGAGTTGGTCACAATGAGCAACTCCAGTGTTCAGACCAGATCTTGCATGCTTCACCTTAGCAGCCACCACAAGAGACCTTGGAACATCAGAACATATCAAATAGTGGTGCCACACAATGTATTTAAATTACAATATTATATTTAAGAATGCCATTGCACTCCATACGATACATGTTGCAAACTCTGTCTTCAGTGCAAACCATATATTATAGGTCTTTTGTTTTGTTCTCCTTTACACACTACATGTTTCGGCCACAAACGGCCATCATCAGGTGTATTACTCACGTATCTGTCACACTGCACTTAGTTTAACATTTAAAATTTAAAAACACAGGTGTTTCTGGTTGTTCCTTTCGTCGTTATTACCAAAATCTACTTCGCTGATATCTTTGTTATTTACACATGTCAATTTTGATTTCTTTGAATTAGCACTTATAAAATCTTCAGTTATAATTTTAAAATCTTTTCAATTTTCCTCTAAATTTAAAATTTAAAATTTAGAGAAAATTGAAAAGATTTTAAAATTTAAATATTTAAAATTTATAGGAATATTTTAAAGATTTTAAAATTAGAACTGAAGATTTTATAAGTGCTAATTCAAAGAAATCAAAATTGACATGTGTAAATAACAAAGATATCAATGAAGTAGATTTTGGTAATAACGACGAAAGGAAAAATCAGAAAGACCTGTGTTTTTAAATTTTAAATGTTAAACTAAGTGCAGTGTGACAGGTACGTGAGTAATACACCTGATGATGGCCGTTTGTGGCCGAAACATGTAGTGTGTAAAGGAGAGCAAAACAAAAGACCTATAATATATGGTTTGCACTGAAGACGGAGTTAGTATCATGTATCATACTAAAATTAACTCTACAGTGCATTAAAGAAGCATAATTCAAACTCATTTCCATTCCTCAGTTATGAAGGACTGATATGCTGAGGTTCTGAAGTAATTCACACAAAATCTGAAGCAATGACTTTTCATGAGCCTGACTGAATTAGTGAAAAACATACATTTTCTTTAAATCACATTTCAATAATCAATCCTTATAACAATGACGTTCTGAAGTATGTTGTGCAAAAGAAAGGCATATGTGGCCTTAGTTGAACTGTTTTGCCACAAACCTGAAATTGTGATTTGTCAAAACTACTGTTCTTCAATAAATCAGTATTTCTTAGAATCAGATGCAATTCCACATATGTGTTCCAATGTGCCAACTAGTGTCATGGTGTCTAGAATCAACTTGGCCCTACAGTCAAATGTGAACAGCTAAAACAAAACCAATATATTAAGAAAAGTAATAATATGAGCCTTGCAAACCAATAAAGGCAGCATAGCTGATAACATTCTTGGTACTATTTTGGATATATTAACAGTCTTCACAATCTGGGCAAAGTGACTGACAGATACAGTCATCATACTTACCATACTGGACAACACTGCAGTAGAGAATTCTATATTCTGGCTAATGGATCCAAAAGTATATGCAAACTAATAGGAATGCATTTTGAAATTCAGCCATTTTGAGACTCATAACCTAACTCAGTCACTTGCTGGAGGAATTAAAAATCAGAAAACAAAAACGGGATGAACTGTGTAAAGGGTTAAAACATGTTTGTGTCTGTAGCTTAACATTACAGGCTTTGCTGCAAGGATATAAAACATGATTGTGATTAAAACAATAACATTTACATAGCAACATCTAGATTTCTAAGATATAATAAAACATCTCTGTTATAAATGTCTCTATAATAAAAACTTCTACACACAACAAAACTGTATGTTCCAATGAGATTCTATGCAATATGTTACCGCAGTGACTGAAATCTCAGTATAAACTCATATGTAAAGACAAAAATTTTAATTCCTTCAATTTCAGTATTGCTGCTGGTTAATTGCCCAGTAATGGTTGCAAAGAGGCATCAACTTCTAAGGTTATATAGTGGTTCAATTATTTGTAATTTTGTTTATTTGTAACATTCCACTGTTTGGGTGAGAGGCTTTGGGTATTAGAGAAATGTCCTTGGACCAAGCGAATATGGCTTAGTAGTGTCATTTTGCTCACATCCAGATGCTACTAAGATAGTGAAGAAATAACACATATGCAAGCCAGCATACAATGTTATCAATTTAATAATCCACATCAGCTGCGCCCACTACATTTTATAAGTATCTGTATTGGTGCATCAGTTACTGTGTTGTCTACTGTTGTGACAATACTATTGTGATATGACAGCTGAAAACCAGAATAGCGGACCCAGAAAAGTCGTCCATTGCTAGGCAACGGCCGGTAAATATGTTTCCATGGCAATCGAAACAAGCTCCCACATCAACAATACCTGGGACATCACTAGACAACAGTTCACTTAACATGTCAATCAGTAAGTGTGTATGAATCATGAAACTGAAATCAAACACCTAGAAGTCTCCCAGAGCCATCAGACAATAAAATATAGTTATGAGTGCCATGGGACTCAGAACCAAGAATCACCTTGCCAGCGAAGGTCAGCTGAAATTTAGCAGTCAGTTGGAGTTGAGAAACATGAGTTGGAAGTCATCAGGTTGGAGTCAGCAATTACCAGTCTGAGTCTTGAGTTGCATTGTTACATGCCCCTAGCAAGTAATGACCAGTGAAGACTTATAAAAGACTAAGACTGAGCATGTGCTCCAGCTGGTGTCAAGGTCAAGAAAACGTGGATCTATGCATCCACTCCCCCACACACCTTCATGGCGTAGTGCTTATTTAGTTAAGAACAGGGACCTTATAGTGACATGTAATGTGTTTAGATTAGACAGAGTGCTATAATTCTTTGTAGCTGCAAGTTTTCAATAAATCCAATTACCAAACCAAACCCCATGTCCAGTCACTAATAGGTAACAGTATTATTAATAACACAAATATGTGATCTGAGACATCTCATGTCTTATTTAATAATCGAACCAGCAACTACTAGAGAGGTAAATATTTTTGGTCAACTCCAGACAGGACATGTAAACTGTAGTTGTCCAATGGCACACAGAAGCTTGGTTGTGCATGTTAAGGTCCATTCTGAGACATTATTCCAGAATTTGGATGGAGACACTGAGGGCAAGCACAAGGTCCGTGACCAGGATTTCAACCAGATACCTACCATAGGAATCTCACCTGTTCAAGCCATATGTATGCTCAGTATAAAACATTAGTTTGTGTCTACATGTGTGCTAATTGAGTTTATTCATGTATTTCCATTTTCCACTTCAGGTTTCAACACACACACAATTTATCGACTCCAACTTAAAATTTTCAAAATAATACATATTAATATTCCAAGCTATGGCATACATTGAAATGTATCACTGGATCAAAATGAAGCATGGAACCACATACCTAACCATACGTATGACAACGCTGTAGTCCACTTCAGGATTTGCAGTGCCTGGGCCTACAGGTTGCAAGAGTCGCAGCATTCGATCACAAGCATCCAACAGAAACCTGAGCAATAAAACATGTTACTTACTCCTAAGTTCCACCTTACATTATTTCAACTTATATAATTATTAAGGAAATCATTTTCTGTTAAAATGTACATAAACACACCAAACATTAATTGTATATGTCTACACCACTTGTAAATTCATGATCAGTATGCGTAGAGTGATGCTTCATTCTACTACTCCTGCATGCAAACTGATAACAATATGTCAGTCTGATACAAAAAATGACTTGCTGGAAATCAATATCCTACCTGTGTCTCAATTTAATTCTTCTTATAAATACACAAATCATGATCAGATATACCCTAATTTACACATATTCTGTTTGGATGCATTGTATTAGACTTGATTTTCAATACTAAGAACGTCTTCTATTTACATATTACATCCCTGCATAAGCATATATGGAGTTCATTCCATGCCTCATAGCCTAATTCCAAATTTTAAACATTCTCATCTCAAACATGGATCTTGTGCATATCTGCATGTAGGGCTTGCTGCCAAGTCTATACATCTTATTTACACGTAAGATGTGAAACCTTTATGACAAATAAATACACTAAAATCTTCTCAGGGAATCTGCTGTTTCAATGCTGAGTTAAAAACGAACATTTCAGAGATCTCCTCCATCTGCATCACCCAGGGCAACATCGATCCTGACGACGGAGATGGAGATCTTGGAAACGTTGGTTTCAAATTCAATACTGAGGAGCAGATTGCCTGCAAATATTCGGCACATCTTATTTGTATGTTTTTGATCTTTATAATGCGTAAATTTAAACATCTATTATAAGCATTAAAATGTGAAAAATGAGTGAAGAACATCAAATGGCTATTTCATCAGATGTACAACCTAAATGCTTCAACAGAGTACAGTCTTCTGGGTTGTAACGCCTGTAGTTTGGGGACAGCACAACAATTCAGGACATGAGTATCCTCGCCACCAAATCCAGGCACATGCACTGTATCATCAGGGAGCTAATAACAGTTGAGCTCTATCCTGGTAACATGAATAGGAAGGATGACTTCTGTCATGGAAACCTCTCATCTCTCTGAAGAACACAGGAGACCGCCCTTGTAAGTTCCTTCTGATGTGTTATCCAAGTGGTTTGGCAAGTGCACACTGCCCTTTCAGGAGATACCCCTGGTCTTGCCTTGCTGTTCTGACAACAGCTTATTCCCACAGACTCTTACTGAAGGTAGCCCTATCCAGCCTCTTCCCCAGACATGCATATGACTTCTGCTGTCTTCTGACTTCATGCAGCACACAGCTGGCCCGTTTCAGATCCAAACCATGGCGCTGTTTCCTCTGCTCCCCTAGGTTCTCTCTGAGTCCCCCAGTAGACAGTGGTTATTCTTCCACTCTCTTTCTCACAATTCCTTTCATGTTTGGACTGGCATTTATCTGGCTGGCTTTTTCATAAGCACTTCACTCAGCTTGCTGCCTGCTTCTGCTGGTTTTGTGCTTGGCTTACTATTTGACTTTGAAGATGATACGTTCCTCCAAGCTGCATGGTATTGCAACTCAGAAGACCCTTCACAGTCACAACTGAGCGAACTTTAAATGCAACACTGAACGTTTTAACTGATCTTCAGAAGAATTTCTGGCAACACCATTATTAAAGTAAATAAGTAATATAGTTTAATGTGAATTCCTTATTTAGTGCCACATTTATAATCCAGCACCTCTTCTGTGTTATTAGAACTTTTAATAACCAGGATACTCACACGATCACCAAATATGCAATGAATAATATTCACTCAGAAACGTAACCCCCATTCTTAACACTGAGTCCATAATAAAGGCACCTTCAATATTTACAGTATAAGGCATTGTGCAGGAATGAAAATACCAAATAAGTGAAAGTACTCCTCTATTTCCTTTGATTCTGGAACAGCAGTGAGCAGACCTCATATTATACTGCAGACAGGATTTTCTTGAACAATTACATTCTTAAGCACAGTCACTAAATTCTTTCATCAATAATACAAAGAAATCTGAATTAAAATGTCGGTTACAAAGTTTGATCACATCTTTTTTTTTTTTTGAATAAATTATGTATGTAAAGGCGTTTTTACATTTTCAGAAACTGAATTGAAAAAGGTTCAGTTTAATAATATTGCATAAAGGGACAGTAACCACTACCCTCAATTTGTAGTTCAGTGTTTATGTTCACAATTTTACATTCTGGTATTTCATATAAAAATGTCATTTAAAACTGAATGCAGCAGAGGCCAATTTATGCTTGAGAACTACTACTCTAATGAGGTGACTGTTATTACTAACCTAGGATATCCTACATGTTCTGAATGAAGCTTAAGAATGGCCAAGCATAGAGAAACGCTAGGTGCATGCTCAAAACCAAATTCTTCTCGAAGGGTAGTGTTGTAGGCCTCATCTGTTGTCAGCCTCCATGTCAAGTTAGAATTTACTGAATTTTCCAAGTTCAGTAAGATTGATGGCTGATTCTCACCACACACTGGGCTTATTGACAGTTCTGAATCATTTACCATCTGCTGATGACAATCATCACATACTCTAACTGCTACACTGTCATATCCCATAACCTACAAACACAAATAAAAATTTCTGAGCTTAAAAAAACAATAACATGTTAAGGCTAAAAAGTGACTGTCATCTTGTTCAAGATACAAGCAAATACAGATGTTAAAACTTAAGAGTTTTTTAATATATTACAGATAAAAATATTTGTGCTGGTAAATTAAAATACTCAACTGATATTATGAACTCATCCTTTATACTGAATTATATCAACTTTTAACCCTTTATGGAGGAACATCATATACAGCCTCAAGGTCTGGCTCACTGTGCTGTCAACGTGTCAACTTAGCTGTTACAAACTATCTCTCTTCTCTTCTGAACACATACTGGGAGTGCCAGAAATTTCTTTAGTGTACATAAATATGTGCATTAGATGTTACTGCAAATACAGTTTATAAATGTTTCATCTCTAGGCATTGCATAAAGAATCGCACCGTTTGAAGGATGTTTATTATTCCTGCAAGAACAAGTAACAGATTCCAGCAAGAAGAAAATCAATAAAGACAAAACTGACTCTCTATGTTTATTTTCATACATTACTCTTTCCCCACCAGCTTCAGGTTAATACACAAAAGTGGTATATATACTTCTTTTAGAAAGCGTGATAGAAAATGATGACATGGCAGATAATACAGGGTATTTCACAAAGTAGTACTGAAAGTGGCCCAGATTTTGTTGTGCAAAATAAAGTCTCTAAATTAAAGATAAAATGGTCAGACTAGCACTAGGAATCTGATTCTTGAGAAGTGTACAGTGAGTTCCAAAGCATAAAAAGCTGGAGAAGGGTCATGGTTTGGCATGGAAATGGCTTACAAGTTTACTCCACACAAATTTCACTGTGACAACTCACACTGAGGTGCTCACATAAATGTATGTGAACAGCCATAAGAATGAAAAATCTTCAAAACGTTTGGATGATAACTTTATATGTATACTAGTCACAGAAGATAATCATATTAAAAAGTCAACTGCTGGTATGAACTAAAAATCAAAGATGATGAAACAGTGCAACATGTATACATGCCTTGCTATTGTAACGCTAAAAACGAAATAAAACAATATTTGTCCAAGCCCATTCTCAAGTACACTCATTTCCCAGAACCAGTTTCTGCTCTTCCTATGAATGTTGCACTTCTTCAATATTCATACTCAACCTGGAGATGCCATATTCAAAATCAAGGAAATTGCAAATTGCCAAAGAGGAAGATTCAAATCAGTGTTTGCTTCCCTGTGCACCTCATCCATCAGTTCCTTACGGCGTATAGCCTGCCAGAGATTCAACAAAAGGAAGTGGGCCATCAACTGCAGGAAATCCAATGAGCCTGATGGGCTGACACTTTCCAGCATCTATAGTTCCTACAGATGAGCATAAAGTGAAGCAGAGAAGGTGCCACATGTATGGCATAATGCCAAGGGGTGAGCGGGAGACATGACTTGAATTGCATGTGCGCTGAACGTGACCATGGGCTTTGCTTCGAGGAATACCATGTAATGATGAATTTGTAATACTAAGAAGGGGAACTGAATCTGGAGATTTCATGGTGACGAATACTACTATTTCTGGGATGTGATGCTGTGTAATTTGGTAAAATGTTATGAATGTTTCAGAGGTTGTTACTATGTCCATCTTCAGGATAGAAGAATACACTCATGTGCTAACAACTGCAATATATGAACAATATAACACCTAATATATTAAACCACTGTGTGTGTTGAAAAATTACTTATGATTTGAGTATTTTTTAAGAACATGTATGAATTTGAAAATTACTGTTGATATTTAATTTCAATTACTCTGTGGGGAACTTCATAATGTAAAAAAACACATATCCCTGTTTCAGGCAGATCAGTACAGTACTTATTGAGACATTAATTTTTCCTGCAGAGGGTTAAAAAAATCAGTCCCACAGTCAAGCATTGACACTAAATCACAGATGGACATGCACATAATTAATAATCATAAAAAAAACTTCAAGAACTACTTCAGAACAACTGAGATGTGATAAGCAGTAGTGTCTACTGAAAACAGCAGTAAATACTACTCATAAAATTTTAATGAACATTTTTATCAACAGCATAAGTTACTTCTTATTATTACTAGGGGATACTAGTTTTATGTACTAGTTTTATCGCTAAGCACAGTATATAAAACTAGTATCCCCTAGTAATAATAAGAAGTAACTTATGCTGTTGATAAAAAATGTTCATTAAAATTCACAGTGACACAAAATGGCAGCTTTTGACACAAACAAGTCACCTATGATTCCCCCTAATATCTGTCAGTTACCAGGATGCAGGTGATCAGGTTGCTGCAATCTTACACCTCAAAAGCAAGGGAGTTTTCTTTAACCCATCCCCATAAGAACAAATTGGTAAGAAGATACTGCACATACTTTCTACAACTGACTCTAATTACACAGCCTTGGAAACAAAACTGATTGTTGCGTTACTGTCTGTTCTTGATTATCTGATTATCTAACCACAGTGCAATGTGTACAACCAGTAAAGCCACTTAAAAAACAATGACATTTTACTCTTGGGTCCCTAGCGGTCATACCATGATTTGCATGAAAATGCCAATGTGTATTTTATTTGGAGATACTGTCTCTATAAATCACTGAAATTTAACCCAAATCATTGGTAATACTTTTTAGAAAAACAAAATTTTCTTTTTTCTTTTTGGAATTCATATGAAGGGCCCATATTTATGGTGCTGGAATGTTTAGATTCACTAGGCACTGACCTAGGATTGGCAAATCATTAAATACCAAAGATGAATAAAATATGATTCAGATGCTAGTGAGGCTTACATACACACAAATGACATTTCAAAAACCATTTATTTGTATTCAGGGTGGCTATAAACATGCAACAAACAAACAACATTCTCCATGCCCTTTAGTCCACAAGCAAACTCTACTAACCAAGCGACTGCCACTTGTCGGCGAAGTTAGTGCCAATTTTTGCAGATACAGAGTGTTGCGTTGTCAGTGCAATGGAGTCCCATGGCCATTAATCTTGGTTTTCTAGACCGGAGCCTCTACTTTTCCAGTCAAGTAGCCCCTCAATTTTCCCCATGAGGCTGAGCGGACCCCATTTCAGACCCACTATCTCACAGAAAATCTGGTAGCGCCGGGAATCGAACCCAGGACCTCTCAATCTGTAGCCAGGAATTATGACCACTAGACCACAGAGGCAACATGTAAATCTATCAAAATCTCTATATCAATTTTTTTTCAGTCACAGTACACTCTCATATGTACGTAGGTCATACCGAAAGTCATGAGCAACTTTTTTTGCATGAAACCTGGGAACAGCAGACGAAAGAGAGTACAGTGGTAGGTGGAACCAGCTGTTGTGTTAACCTTGAGTGTTTTGTGACGTCAATAGCTTGCATCACGTGACCAGTATTATCCTAACAAAATGGCTGACAACAATATGTCGTTTCGCCACTGTGCTGTCATCAAATTTCCTGTGAAAGAGGAAATCCCTGCTGCAGAAATTCACCAGACTTCAGCGTGCTTATGGAAGTGTTCGAAGATGGATGAAACATTTTAAAGATGGGAACACCAGCATCAAAGATGAGCCTTGGAACGGTTGTCCTCGAACAGCCTCAACTGAACGCAACAAGGAAAGAGTGGATGAGATCATTCAAGATGACAGGCATGTGACTGTGGACACAATAGCCTGAAGACTTGGAATAGGGCACAGTGCAGTATAGGAGATGATTGAAAGCTTGGGCTATAGGAAAGTTTGTGCTCGTTGGGTCCCGCAGTTATTGACTGAAGACCACAAAGGTCAGCAAAAAGACATCACCTCAGAACTGCTGCAGAGATATAAACACGAAGGCGATGAGTTTTTGCTCTGTATTGTGACAGGTGACGAAAGCTGGTTTCACCATTTCGAGCCGGAAACGAAACAGCAGAGTATGGAATGGCACCATTTGCATTCTCCATCAAAAAAAAAAAAAAAAAAGGCAAAGACAGTGCCATGAGCTGCAAAGGTGATGGACACAGTCTTCTGGGATGCAGAGGGGTTTGTTCTGGACGAATTCCTGGAACTTGGGCAAACCATCAATGCTGCTCGTTATGTCCAGATGCTGCACAAGCTCCGTCATGCATTGCGCGATAAACGTCTGGGACAAAGCATCATCCTGTATGACAACGCTTGCCTCACATTGGAAGCAACTGCAAAGATGGGGTGGGAAGTTCTTCCACACCCCTCCTATAGCCCTGATCTGGCACCCTCAGACTACCATCTTTTTGGATTTGTGAAGGATCAGCTCCATGGACAACGTTTTGAGACAAGGGAGGCAATTCAGAAAGCAGTGCATCAGTGTCTTCGGATGGCTGGAACAGAATTTTACAGAAGGCGAATTTTCAAACTCCCAGAACGCTGGAAGAAATGTGTACAAAGAAGTGGCGATAATGTGGAAAAATAAAGACGGGTCTGTAGATTGAGGTGGTGTATTTGGTTTGACAATAATAAAGCATGTTACTTTACAAAAAACTGTAGCTCATGACTTTCAGTATGACCCTCGTACAATGTATATGACAGAGTAAAGTTCAGTTCCGGAGACTGTGAAGAAGGACAATCAGGTGATCCACATGACTGAAAATGTTCTATCCATGCAGCTCTCTGCATTAGTACATCATGCCAGCCTTTTTGCTGTTATAATTATTCTACCGTTGGAAGTAATGCAAGCCATAAATGAATGCAGTGTGAGCTTTATCTGTGAAATTATGAAGGCCTCACTACAAGAGTAAAAATAAATGAAGACTGAAGTTCAAAATTTTGTAACTCTCAAATGGTGGAGAATCAGAAAAGTGGTTGATACATATTCCGCTCCAAATTATCTTCTCAATAACCTCCTACATTCTGGACACAGGAACCTGAAATACCCTGTGTGTGTGTGTGTGTGTGTGTGTATAATCATAACTATAAAGTTACACCCATTACTGCAAATTAAACAATTGCTACATACTCAAATTCAAATCCTTCATAACATTTCTAAAAAATTAATAAACATATGACTACATAAATTGAACTAGCCAGCACCTTGGTCCTCTGAGTGGAGCAGGATCCACAGATAACACGGCCACACCTTCTGCAGTGATGTCGACGGTTAAACATAGAGAAAGCCACAGACTGACAACACATGCATTCTGTAACCTATAAACAAAGAATCAAATTCATCCTATATGGCTGAACACTTTATGACTGTCCAGTTACACAATTATTGCAAATATCTGTCTCTACAGCACCTCCCTTCAAGCATGAAATATAATTTGCACAAAATTAAAACCCAAACAACTGTCACTGTCATTCTTGAATGCTTTCTGGACAACCCAGGAATGATTACAAGTGCTGAGAATGGATAAAACAAATCTCTACTGAAACATTAAGATTTTCTGCAAAGTGACAATATGGACTGGCCTTAGTTCCCTGACTTTAGCAAGCCCTGCTTCACATGGTTCTATTAGCTATCTAATCAGTCTTCAATAAATCTTTATTTCTTTGAGCCATCTGAGAATCTGCACTCTTCTTCTTAACTGTTTCCCCAGATGTGCTACCATCACCTGTAATTTCAATGGTAAGAACCACAGTGTAAAGCAAATCTTGTATAGTATTACGTCTAGTATGCTTAAAGAGAACTTTCAAATGATTCTAAATTATCTGAAGGTTCTAGCAGAAAATCCTAAACTGAATGAAATGTTTTACCAAGCCTTTATGTCTGCTCATCCCTACAGATATGAGTCACTACAGCAATTTTCATTAAAGTCAGTATAAAAGACGTGCCACCATGCATTTACATGTACTACATCATATTTTCTTGTAATGACAGCAATATCAAGTCAGCGGATATGCTGAGATTTCTGATGGTGAAGCGGAATACTTATTAACATATGACTATGAAATTTTGAATGATGACACAACTTAAAAAAGGTACACCTTTGTCTGGTTCAGTACTATCATAAAAAATGATAAAACAGTGGCCATTTCATCTGTCATTATACCACAGTAATTATGTAATTAGGAATGTGAAATTTTATACAGATGTCAAGAGTATTCCTATGTGTGTATGAATTATATCTGTATGTTAGAAATATAAACATACATACTTAAAAAAACATCATGCGGTTTTATCATTTCATGGTTGTCAGTCCGGCTTAGCCTAAATTTTGCAGCCTGTCTTCATTTAAAGATCACTGTCTTCTGGAATGTAGTTTGACTGAGGTCATCTACCTACATGTGAAGCTATATGATGTCATATTCTACAAGACTGTAATCTGCATATTCACCACGAGTACTTAAAATCTCACACACCTTCATTTAATGTATAAAAACCATAAATAAAACAATAGATTCTAAAGAGTTCAGATAATTTTGTATAACATTTGGGATTACTGAGCTCTTTACTCTGTCCATAATACAAAATTCTAAAAAAACACATCTGTAAACTGAAAGGTCTGGTGACTGTAGTTAAATTTTTCTAACGGATGTAAGTTCTCCCTATCCTTTCATCTGACAGACATAGATCCACTTTGTGAAATGTTGTGTTCTTTGGAACATCAGATGGCAGAAAAAGTCCAAAAAGTCAGTAATCCCCCCCCCCGATAAAGAATTAACGTATCATGGATGACAATTAGCGATGAATAATTTATCATTAAAATTCCAAGCATTTACTCCAACTTCAGTGAAAGAAAAAGAACACAGAACAATACCTCATCATTTGGCACCCATTCATTCTTGGAAGGAACTGCTGCTGGCATTACAAAGTCTTCACTGTGTGCAGATCCCAATGACAGCGAAACCAATAATCTCTCCTCAGCAGGTAGAGTTCGACATGACGCTGGACACTGAGCTACTCTAAACTCCAGGGCTTTGCTGGCATAGTGTCTTAGCATGGAATCAATATTAGTCAGGGACATAGGAGAAGTAGCAGGAAGCTGAGTTATGAGTGGATAAACTTCAGAGACCATTTTCTCTAACATCTCCAGCCGTGTGTTCATGATGAACTGTTCCATAATTAAATGTGGCTGCCCAATTAGTTCCCAGTGCTGCACTTGTTCCAAATATGGTAGAACTGTCATCATTTGAATGCCAATTGATAAGTTCTGATATTCACTCAGTTGCTTGGTTGATAAATTTGAGGAACAAGAATTTAGTAAGAATGTGGTTATGAACTTCAGGCATGAAATTGATCTTAGTTGTTGAATAAGTTCATTACAGATGGCAACAGTTTGCTGGACTGGCAAAGATTCCAACAGCTGAAAGGAAAACAATTACACAAGTGTTAATATGTGTTAATGTGCAGGCACATCCATTTGAACAGTGAATTCACTGGATAAATCACTTTCACAGGCACTACCGTCTTTCCAACACCTGTCCCATCAGTTTATTTAAAATGTTCTAAATGTTTGATATTATTTAATAGATCATCAATTATATAGAAACTCTTTATTAGCTTGGAAGGAAATTAAAATTTTGAAAGTGTGGAGAAAAAGGACATTAAGTGTGAGGAATCTCAAACAATACTTTCCAAAAGTTTTTCATATAATATTGTTTTCATGCTGGCATCTTGCTTGACTTATTCAGCCCATAAGATGGAGGCAATATGTTCCTCCAAAATGTTGGATGCCTTTCAATGGACTATAGGGTGTTCTATCCTAGAAGACAGGTCTCTTCATAACCACCACTGTGAGAACCTCAAATCCTACAATACTGATATGTTTGGTTGAGATCCTGACATGACCCATTTAGTTCACCAGTGTCTGATACCACTGAAATCAGTCTATCCAAACTGAGATCCAGAAACTCCTGATTCCCATGGACACTAGAAAATCGACTTCCTACATACATTCAGTCCAACATCCAAAAATTGGATGTTCCCTTATGACCCAGCATCTCACCAGATACTCATACAAGCAACCCTCCACAGTAGGCTGAGCCCAGCATCCAATGTACAGAACTCATGCTACTTTGTGGCAATCCTGAACATGCTTACAATCACTGAGGAAGACATTCTTGTCAGCTCTGATGTGGAATCACTTTTCACCAGAGTCCTGGACACATGACATGGTGGAAATCACCCACGATCATTGAACTACAACAGACGTACCACAGGACCCTTCCATTCCTACAGAGCACTGTGTCAGCATTACTTTCTTCGTGCGGCAGGAAAAATTCTACTGATAAATGAAAGAAACTGCATGCAGTCCCCACTACTAGCCAAAACATTACAGTTTTGGAGGAGGTCATTGGTTCCATCCTGCTCAAACCAAAAAGCTGGCACGATACGTGGATGTATTTGAAATCTGGCCACACGGCCTAAATCCCCATACAGACATGCCTACCCACTTGAACTCCATGCATCCCAACATAAATTTCTCCATGAAATTGAAAAGGGTCAACAATTACCCCTTTCAGAAGTTCTGGTTAACAGACATTTGGACAACTCCCTATGCAAGTAACTTCATATCACCCACTGGGTCATAAGAGATCCATCATCACTATCTTAACAGATGGAGCCAAAATGATTTGTGGTGAGTCAAACCAGGCTGCCAAACACCAAAATGTAAAGTCCACTTGAGCTAATGGCTACACCCTCCAGGACATCAATATAGCAACAAAGGCTACATCTACCAACAAAATAAGACTGATGACACAGCATACCTACCATACACCCACAGCACCAATGACTACATTTCCAGAATACTCAAGAGAAAAGGATATATTCATGGGAAGAAGATGAAAAGAAAGAAAATTTCCTTCACCTTTTGTTCTCAACACAGGATCATTGTAACATATTCCTCATCTTTTGTGAGGACCACACGGCTGCCAAATTTTTCATCCCCCCCCCCTTCATTACCCACATGGTCACTGAAAGATTTTCACCATCTCTTTCTAAATAAGATCTAAAAGTTTGTGATGATGGTACTCTAGTACAAATATTATGTTTCTGGACATTATCCATCTTTATCTAAAAACACCGTCTGTTTATATTTCAAAACACAACATTTCGGGGACTGGACTGTTTCCGTCTTCAGGTAAAACCTACTCATTTCAGCCCAATCTACAGAGCTAGTCCCTGTCTCCAGAGATAGGCTCTAGCTCTATCGACTAGGCTCAACTGACTAGGTTGTACCTGAAGATGGAGACAGAGTCCAGTCTCTGAAACGCTGTTTGGAAATGTACACAGGATGGTGGTTTTAGATAGGATAGGATGACAGATAATGTCAAGAATCATAATATTTGTACCTCTTTTTACATGCAGCCAAAACGAAAAACATTTTTCATCACCTTTCACTAACCATGTGGTCACTTAGTGTTGGTTAGCGTACCACTCCTCTGTTCATCCAATCACAGACTATCTACTCTGAGATCTATATAAAAGCTACCAAAACCCCCACCAAAGTCATTAACACTGAAGATGGCAACTGTGATGTTTACTGAAATGGAAAACTTTCAACATTTTATGTAGTGTATTCCAAAAGTTGAAGCCACATAATTAACCAGGATCTTTATTAATGTAAATCAGGCAGAGAACTGACCACTAAATAGCATAATCATTGATTTAGAGTTAGCTAATGCCTACATATAGATGAACACATTTGAGGAATAGCAGATATCATACAATATTCCCAGAAAAATCTGTAGTAAACAGAAAGGTAACTTTTTCCGGCAAACAGATCTTTCAGATCCAATGAAAATAAATGTAATTTACCTTTGCAGCAGATGAGAAATCTGGAAGTTCATGCTCCAAGAAAAGAAGTAAAAACCTGGAGTCAACATGGTGCTGACTATGTGTGGCAATATTATGTAATTTTGCCCATTCAAGGCATACCTGAAACTGAATATCAAGCAATGGTTACAAAAATCAATATACAATTTGATTTGTTTCATTCCGGTCCGTCACACTAATATTATGAAAAAGTTAAATAGTTCCATCCAGTGTGACTGGTTAAGATTTTCTTATTTCAATTATTCATGCCCTTACATATTTCGGTCTTAACAGACCATCTTCAATTCTACGAATTCCAATAGAATCTTAACAAACTAACTATAAATATTTCGAAGTATTGGAACAGCCGCTGTAGTTGTAAAGACTTCAGATTTTACAACCAAATGTATATTGTTTATATTGTATGTATATATTTTAACTTTTCGAACATGTAATGTAATGGTGGCTTCTAACTGTATTGATGTAAAGGTGTCCCTCTGAAGACCGAAACATGTAAGGGCATGAATAATTGAAATAAGAAAATCTTAACCAGTCACACTGGATGGAACTATTTAACTTTTTCATTAACATCACACTTTTGAAGTGCTACATAGTTAAAAGAAAATGTAATGTTAGTATATAAGTAACCTTATGTATTTATCATTCAACTGTTCAATGACACTACGAGCAATACTTTTTTCTTACTGCCTTAGCTTCCATCAGTAGCTCCAGAATGAAAGAAGGGTTCTCCTTTGATGTACAGCTGACATCATACCATGTCTTCATACCAGCAGAAGAAGCAAAGGGAAGGACCTGTATATTGATTTGAGAACACAAACATTACTCATATAACTTTTCAATTAGTGTTCTAGGCACTTTCTGATGAGCTCTGTTTCATCAATTTTATTATGAAAGAAGAAGTATATAAATGGTAATCAAAAAGTACTTCCAACTATTAATTTAATATAAATTACCTTAATGGAGAATGGTACTGCTACACAAGGTTGCTGCTACCTTTTGCTCTTAGTTGGCTTTCGTGAAAATCAACATAAACTCTGAAAAAAATATTACCTTTTCATAGATGGAAATTCTCTGTAACATCTCTTGCAATTGCGATTTAAGTCCTGGAGACAGTGTTTGATGATGATGTTCCAGCAATGCCTTCAGAGCATCTTGACAACCATGACCTGGCCACTGAGGCAGATGCTGCAACAAGCACTGTGCCTGGACAGACATATCTCCTATATGCTGACAGTACCACCAGGGACTGGCGCTTTCTGGCAACAACACACATTAGATGCATTATATTAAATAAACTTGCATTCACACATTACAAGCATACACACATATATTACTTTATGGAGATGACTTAAATTTTGGCTGCACTAGTATCTTTGTTAACTCCACTTTCAGCCAGTGTGCGTGGGCAGCTTGAGTGCAGAGTGTCTAGCATGGTGACAAACATAAAGGCACCAGATGATACAGGCTGATTAATATTAATTAAAAAGAAAGATCAACTATACACAACCAAGCAGGAAAGACAATGTTCAGTCACAGGTCCAGTAATGTAACTATAAGAATCTTGAGTGATATTACCTCATGGTAATTAAACATTCATACTTCCCATTAGTTCTACAGCCACGTTCTTACTTCCTCACCTCCTGTCACCACTACATGAGCCCAATGTCTTGCTTGTCCCTACTACTCTTATCTTCCCTCCCCTTTCATATGGGCCAGAGGCCACCATAAATAAATAAGAATATTGGGTGAGGTGGTGTGGGGGGCTGCATGTGCCTCTATTGAGCCCCCCTTCTGGATGGTTCTGGAAACTGCCTAAGACCAAGGCTGACTGAGAACTCACAACAGACTTCTAGAATGACTAAGGATATGACACATAATTGTTAAATCCCAGTGTGGGCAGTCTGAGAAGTAGCAGAGTACATCAGACCTGTGTGACCCATACAAAACAGATGTGAAGCAGAACTTGTAAGATTTGAGGCTTTCACGGCGGTGACTATGAAGAAAGCAGTCTTCTGGGATTTTGCACCGTGTATATGTGGTGTTAACCGACGTTTCAGAGGAATGTATCGCCTCCATCTTCACACATCTTCACCGTGAGAACCGGTTAACACCACATATACACGGTGCAAAATCCCAGAAGACTGCTTTCTTCGAAGCAGAACTTGTTGGGACTCTAACTTATTCAGTGCAAGATGTAGGAAATAAAAATGGGAAGGGGTCTATTCTTCAAAACAGCCACAAATTTGTCAGTTGTTTTTTATGAATGTGAAATATGGCATCTTGTTTTGAGGAAAGAACATGAATTCCAAACAATTTAAAACAAAGTGCTCAAGAAAATATATAGTCTCGAGTATGATTATGTAATAAATTTTACATCATCACATAATAAAAGTTTCATGTTTTATATAGGTCAACTAATACTGTTTGGATAACAAAATCTAAGCTGCTGATGTGTGTGTGTGTAGGGGTGTATTTACAGCAGCATCAACACTGAGGTCTACTTTCTCCTGTCTAAACTTCATATGTAAGTCCTAATCCAAAATGTCCTAAAATTAATATATTCTCATATGTCAGTGTCTAGGCATGGTGTTTGGATTGCTAAGAGTATTGTAGATTTATTGTACTATTATACCTTATAACTACAAATAATTACAACAGTCTTATTAATCTACTCATTTTTCATATCACTACTGCACATGTCTCCTCAGTTTACTATGTCTTCACTAGTCATTCTCAGTTACCGTCTTCACTGTGTCCCTAGGTGACATCTGATAACCATAGAGGTTCTTTTGCTTCGGTGCTCATATCCTCACTGGATCCAAAGTCAAAGACAAAGTCATGTTATGACCGACAGTCAGTCGGCCAGTCTGTCTTGGTGTCAAGCACCAATCTGGGGCCCAAGACCAGATTTTTATTACTGTCAGACAGCTGTGGGTTTGTTGATGTGGAGTGTCCTCCCTGATGAGAGGATGGGTCAGTCATTTACAATTGCTGCTCGCCCTCACCAGGGCAGACATTCTTGAGTCTGAGTCGCATGGGATTAATGACCATATTTTATTGCCTTAGAGTAGAGATAACCCCATGTAACATCATCTCTGATGAGAAGATGTGTTTGTCTCTTATGAGGAGGTTTTGCTTTTATCAAGTGTATGTATCACACATATGGTATGTTATTGAAAATTCTTCCTTGTGCATTATATGCTAGTCCTCCATCACTCAAGGTTCCGCAAAGCAGTCAGGTCTATCTTACTTATCTTATGCTATGACAGCTTAGTCAGTTGAATAGTCATAAGCTTGACCACCGCCAAGTTTAAGCCTCTTATACTTTCTATGTCTGGCTTTGCCTTGTCTTATCTGCAAACATGTTCATTCTCATGATTGTGTATGACTTCTGTTTGGTGCCTGCATAATTTTGTCATATAATCATATATACAAGGTGTCCCAAAAAATGTACTCACTCTTTGACTGTCCATAACTCACTGAAATTTTTATATTTTTCTACGTATAAGTAACTTGAAATAACAGCGGAAGTATGACTAAGTTTTGAGGAAAGAAAATTTGTGCTGGAGTGTTACTGGAAGTAAGAGAACATCACTGAAGTGCAGAGACAGTTTACAAGGGAGTTTCAAAGAAATCCACCAACGTGACACACCACTGCTTGGATGGAATGTTGGAATGTAACTTTTCCAATGGACTCACTACAAAATCCGATGACACTCAATTTTAAGATTCCTATCTCACAAGCCACTTGCCGTACAGATTTCTTTGGGGATTGGAGGGTTTCCAGTAGTTGTTCTTCTCTTGCAGGATTAGTACATGACTGTGGTCTTCCAGAATGTTGTTTATGGATGTCTTGAACAGTTACAGTTGCTTCAAATTTATCTCTGATGCAAGCAATGGTGTGTAGCATTGGTGGATCTCTTTGAAACTCCCTTGTAAACTATCTTTGAACTTCAGTGATCTTATCGTACTTCCAGTAACACTCCAGCACAAATTTTCTTTCCCCAAAACTTAGCCATACTTCCGCCATTATTTCAACTTACTTATACGTAGAAAAATATAAAAATTTCAGTGAGTTATGGACAGTCAAAGAGTGAGTACATTTTTTTGGGGACATCTGTATATTGGAGAAAAAATGGGAGTATGATGAGACAGTACATCAGTTATACATAGACTTCAAGAAAGCCTATGATTCAGTTAGGAGGGAAGTATTGTACAATATTCTGATTGAGTTTGGGATACCCATGAAACTAGTCAGGTTGATTAAAATGTGTTTAAACGAAACGTATAGTAAAGTCCATGTAGGTAAACATTTGTCTGATAAATTTCGTACCCAGTATGGTCTAAAACAAGGAGATGCTTTATCGCCAATTCTTTTCAACTTTGTTTTAGAATATGCAATTAGGAAGGTCCAGGGACACCAGGTGGGACTGAAATTAAATGGGACACATCAGATGTTGGCCTATGCCGATGATGTGAATCTACTGGGTGATAATGTAAATACCATAAAGGAAAACACGCAAACTTTAATTGATGCAAGTAAAGAGGTTGGTCTAGAAGTAAACACAGAGAAAAGTAAGTATATGTTGCTGTCTCATCACCAAAATGTACGGCAAAATCATGACATAAAGATGGGAAACAGATGTTTTGAAAATGTGGCACAGTTCAGATATTTGGCAACAACAATAACAGATCGAAACCTGATTCAGGAGGAAATTAACCATTAAGATATGGGCCATTTAAATTCCGGTAGTGGCAGTGGGACGGAGTTAATTTAAATGCCCGCCATTGTAGAGTAATAAAAATTGTAATCATGTTACTCAAAATGCTGTGATTTCTACAATTTTTGTGATAAACGAACGAAATAAACGCTGCTTTTATCTAGAAAGAATATAGAATCAGATATTGTAGTTTACAGATTTTAGAATCTGTAAAAATTGTTACAGTGATTCCAAAAAAAATTTTTTCCCAATTTTAAGCGTCTGTCCATAAATATGCAGTCAGTTTCTGCACAAAACGTTTCTGCAGTATAAATGCATGCTGATGACACACTGTCTGACTGTGTCTTATCTATCAAGAGGAGAGGAAATATTTATGCTTTTATAGCACTCCAACCTTTCTGTATACAGGAGTGAGGTCACGTCCCTCAGAGACTCTGTCTGTGTATACACGTATCTGCCACACAAGAAGTACTGCTAAGCTTCTTAGAAAGGCCTGCACTTGGCCCCTTGTTCTACGTACTTTCAGTCTTATGTACCACATTCTAAATCGGTGACATTTATCAGCTGCCTATTAACTTCGCCTTTTTCCATGCGAAATAGGGCCATGGGGGATAGTTGAAATTGGGATGTTTTATAGGCGTTATGATTAGAGAAGGCAAATCGGCAACAATGGCTGACTTCCTGCTAATACGAGACAGATGTTGCGTGTGTGTGCTTCACGTGGAAAACAGAGTTACATACAGACAAAGTGCATGAATTGCGACGTCGGACTCTGCATTCAGTTACATGAAAAATTCAGTTAGATGATGCAGAGGGAAGACAGTCTACTTATAAAGCTCGTGTCCAAAAATAATGTAGAAAGCACCGCACATGGCCCCTTTCTTCTACGTGCTTTCAGTCTTATGTACCACATTCTGAATGGTTTGATTTACGAGCGGCTTCTAAATTACGGCTTTTTCAATGCGAAAAGGGGCCATGGTGCATAGCTGAAATTGCGATGTTTTATAAGCGTTATGAATACAGGAGACCACTCGCCATCACTGACCTACTTCCTGCTAATACGAGACTGATATTTGTGTGTGGGCGCTTCATGTGGAAAACAGAGTTAATTACAAAGGGCATGAATTGCAACATCGGACTCTGCATTCAGTGACATGCAATATTCAGTCAGGTGATGCAGAAGGGAAGACAGTCTACTTATAAAGCTGGTGTCCAAAAATAATGTAAGTAGAACAAGAATTTCTATCTTAAAATTAGATTTTAAAACACTGTGCGCACGCGTGGACTGCGCATACCCATACGGTGTCCTTTGGCCAGTCGGCTTTACTTTAAAGGTCCCCATACGGTGTCCTTCGGCTCATAAAGGTTAAGAGGAGAATGAACTCAGGCAATGCTTGCTACCATTCAGTCCAGAAACTTTTGTCTTCTCGTCTGCTGTCCAAAAACATAAAAATTAGAATATACAAAACTATAATTTTGCCTGTGGTTCTGTATGGGTGTGAAACTTGGTCTCTGGCATTAAGGGAAGAACATAGACTAAGGGTGTTTGAGAACAAGGTGTTGAGGAGAATATTTGGATCTACGAGAGATGAAGTGACAGAGACCACTGGGAAGACCAAGGTGTAGGTGGGTGGACAATATTAAAATGGATGGAGAGACAGGATGGGATGGTATGGATTGGATTGATCTGGCTCAGGATTGGTACCAGTGAAGGAATCTTGTGAACACGGTAATGAACCTTTGGGTTCCATAAAATGCTGGGAAATTCTTGAATAGCTTCAGAATTGGCGGCTCCTCCAGAAGGCCTCAGCACACATCTGCTATTTTCATGCGGCTTTAAGCCTTCCATCGTATATTACAGCGTTCCGTATATAATGCCTCCTATTTTTTTTAAAGAAAACTATAACAGATACAGAAAGCATAATAATGCAGTTAAATAGCGCAGGATTTCAGCTACTTATAGTTATTTTTCCACATAATCACCACCATTCATTATGCACTTTTGTCAGCCATTAACAAGAGCCTGTATGCCGTGCCCATAAAAGTCTGCGCCAGCAGAGGCTAGCCACTTTCTTACAGCTGCAATGACAGCATCATTGTCTGGAAAATGTTGCCCACACAGTCCATCTTTCTTAGGCCCAAAGAGATGGAAGTCTAAAGGTGCTAAACCGGGGCTGTAAGGTGGATGTGGTAGGACAGTCCAGCCAAACTTTGCAATGTGCGCGGTGGTCGCCAAACTTGTATGGGGTCTAGTGTTATGGTGTTGCAAGCGAAAGGTTGTCTGCTTCTTTGGCCTGACTCGGGAAATGTGGGCTTTCAGCTTAGTCAGCGTCATTTTGTAGCGTTCAGAATTGACAGTCCCTGGTCATTATCTGCTGATCTGTACAGATGAGGCGCTGTTCACTGTGAGGAGTGGCAGCTGAGCAGGGATGCCCAGGGCGTGGCTTGTTGTGCACTTCAATTTCGCCACTGTTGAAACGTACTACCCACCGCCTCACTGTGCTGACATCCACTGTATTGTCTCCATACACCTTTAGCAAGTGTCGATGGATGTCAGTGGGTACAATTTGTTTGGCAGTGAGAAATTCAATAACACATCTGTGTTTCATACGCACTTCTACGTCAGACACCATTTTGGTAGACTGCTCTGCTGTCGCTATCTGTTGCATGACAACCAAACTAACAGTAGATTGGCGGGAAGGTTCAACCTTTACTACAACACCACCAACATCCATCTCAGACGTTACATATTAACATAAAAAAATAGGAGGCATTATTTATGGAATGCCCTACATATATACATACATACATATATGAAATCAGTTTTCTTTGTACCAAGCCCTTTGAGACCCGTAACAAGAGATTTTTTTTAACTGAACCCTTGTGGTCATAGTCTTTATGTAACATCCTCTCTCAGTATCACTTAGTAGGCCTACTGAATTAAATAGTATGAGGGTGTCATGATACAGTGAATTTTGGGTTAACTACCTGGAGTTACTTCAGAGCCATCAAAACAATTAAGGGGGTTTGTACAGATGGCAATGTCAGGTGCACAGAGGTCAGTCAGGTCAAAAAGACTGCAACAAGAGATAAGAAAGGTGAAGAGAGAATTTGTGTTATTTTGTAATGACAGCTCTATTATACAGCATTCATCTTTGTTCTGTAATGAAAATATTTTACCTTCATCTGGTAACGTTGAGGCCTGTTCATACATGACTACATCATGAAATTTCTGCAGTTTTGGGTCATCCAGTAATTCAGTTTCAGGAAGTGCCCATATTATCTCAGCACACTGGTGCCATTCTTGCTTCTTTACAAGACTATTCAATAAGCCCCACAGTTCTACCATACCAGGTTTTGAATGCAGTGCAGCAACAATTACATTATTCTGGAAAACTGGTTTTAATGCATCCACCCACTTTGATCTGAAGAGCCGCTCGAGACACTTAGTCCGCTCATCAGTCATTTTATGCGATAATATTTCATTTGCTGGTGAGGCATGAAGAGATTTCTCCTGATGTATCTTTTGGACCAATAATGATAACACCCAACAGTGACACTCCATGAACTTCAGAACAGAATCTCGAACTACTCTGTGCTTCCACAAGTCTTCACAGAGGTCGCAATTTTCATTAGACTTGGAAACAGTAGCAGAAGCATCATTTTCAACCCTGCTGTAATCCAGCAAGATGCCAAACTCATTGTTGGGCTTCTCAATTTTCACAACTGTCCCTGAAAGCAAAATACATTACTGACACAAGGGAAGTTAATCCTGAAAAACAATTACTTTATTCTCATCTTGTTACGCAAATCTGACATACATTGCATCCAAAAGCCATAAACATACCTGCACAATTCTAAAACACTGTTCTTCATTTCTAATTTCATGACCTACCAGTCTTAAAAAATTACCATGAAAATTTATATCGGGATTAGAACAAAATCCTGATTCCGTACTCCTGCTCTTATTAAAATCTCATATTTCAAATACTCTTTTGGTCCTCGCTGAAACCCAACNTCCTGAAAAACAATTACTTTATTCTCATCTTGTTACGCAAATCTGAAATTAAATTAACAATGTATTATTTTGCCATATGCAGTGACTTTAGATAACTTAACAACATACATTTGGCATAAGGAATCTGTTCACTGCCAGAATTCGTACTCTGATTAGTGTGACTGTCATCAAAACAACAGCTGATATTCATGTTTCTCGTCTGCTAGAATTTGTTACTACACAACCATAATCTTTGGCAAGTGACATCATACACTGAACATGCCACACACCAAAGCATTACAAATGTTCTGATTCTCAACTAAGGTTATTTCAGTGTTTATTTAATGTGATTAATTATTTTAGAAATTAATCTGACATAAATGATAAGTAATATAATCATTTGTGTACAAACAGCTTCTTTAATTACGTATGTAAATACACCATTTTATCATAATTATATACAGGATGTCTTGTAAGTGGGGGAACATTTTTTTTTGTGATTTTGCATGATCTCCATTAGGTAAAAAATCAAATTAGTGTAAGAAATGCCATTTCCCAAGAGATTCACTAAGCAGGAATTTCTCCGTATTCAAATTCAGTCTCTTATGCATAACAAATACAACAAAGCTCACGATTTCTTCCACTTCACTTAACACAATCACGATAATATAAACCCTAAAAAATTATCAAATAATGTAGTAACATAGAATAACATGCCTTCATAAACAATGTAATCTTTTATCACCATTTCAGTAACAAGCTTAGAAATCAAAATGAATGGTTCAATTTTGCATCTGTGGTGTGGCATACCTTTTCATGTGTGTTCACTACGTCAGTTGGTGCCTTCACTTGGCCAGCTGTGACCACAGCGAAGCTGTAGCTATATCATAAAGGAAAGGCTACTGGTCAGCTTGCAGTACTTATCTTATATATTCTACAGATTTAACTGTACCTGCATAAAACACACGACTCATATTCTTTCCTGTGACCAAGGACCACCAAACACAAATTTTATATCATGGAGTGAATCACTGTGTACAAGATGTGAATTTCTTGAGTACCAGTACACATAATTTTGGTGTTCAAGTCTCTTCATATAAAATCAAACCCCACCTGGGAGTCAACTCAGGATCAAGTTCACCATTATCAACTGACTGAAGATACTATAACCAATCATTATTTATAATGATCATCCATTATATTAATCATGATTGAGAATGATATTGAGAAAATAAACAAGGAGACAGTCCCATTTTTAAACTTATATCGTAACTTGCATCCATAAAAATAATGTAACACTATCCCTGTAACGGGCTGTGAAGGCCCATAGGGTTGTGAGATGTCAAGGTTCCCACATCTTCTAGACAATCGGCTCACAGATGGCAGTAAGGTTGTTAGCCATACAGAAAAAAAAAAGCCTTTAAAGCACTAGCACCGAGCATTCCACATCCGCCAGAACCAATTTTAACGTGCTGGGTCACGTGGCTGTGTGCAGCGACTCATTATACCAAACATTTAGAAACAGTTAGGAATGTCGTGAATATATTTGATCCCAAAAGTGCAGCATCAATTCAAATTGCCCAAGATGTACTAAAAAACGCAGAACTAGAAACTAATCTTTCCTATATATCTGCTCACTTCTCTCATCTTCCATCCGCCATTTCTTCACTGGAGGCAAGCAATAGCAATACTACTTTGTATCAGCCTTTAAGTGTGTTCAAAACCACTGTTTCCAAATTGAATTCAGTTCCTGGAAGAGTTGGTGAAGTAGTAAAGGAAAAGTATGCAGAATTCTTTAAAAAAATCCAGGATATGAACAAATTTGTGAAATTGAAGAAATTTTAGCCTGTAAACGTACTGAAATGCCAAGTAAAAAATCACTAACAATGGAGCAAATAGCGGCTTTTGTACATGCGCCATGAGGTGGAAAGAAGTTTTTCCTGCTACAAAGACATCTTCCNAATCTTTCCTATATATCTGCTCACTTCTCTCATCTTCCATCCGCCATTTCTTCACTGGAGGCAAGCAATAGCAATACTACTTTGTATCAGCCTTTAAGTGTGTTCAAAACCACTGTTTCCAAATTGAATTCAGTTCCTGGAAGAGTTGGTGAAGTAGTAAAGGAAAAGTATGCAGAATTCTTTAAAAAAATCCAGGATATGAACAAATTTGTGAAATTGAAGAAATTTTAGCCTGTAAACGTACTGAAATGCCAAGTAAAAAATCACTAACAATGGAGCAAATAGCGGCTTTTGTACATGCGCCATGAGGTGGAAAGAAGTTTTTCCTGCTACAAAGACATCTTCCGAGACAATAGGAGGCGACTACCTATGGAAAACCTAAAACATTTAGTACCTGTGAATTGCAACAGAAGAGAAGTTGAAAGTTCGGAGAGCTAAATGTGAGTACCACTGTTTTTTTAAATTTGTAATGAAATATGTTAGCTTTGTTCCATGATTTGTATTTAAGTATAGCTTTTTAGTGCAAGTGAATCATTCAGTGATTACATAAAATGAACTTAAAAATTGATTTGTTGGTCTTAAGATAATGTAAAATCAATTTTAATATTTGGTATAAATTTTTATGTGCATATTTAAGTGCATATTTCGGAAGTTTTTCATGCATAAATGCATACATATTTAAGGGATTATTAGGGCATAAAATCTGGTCCCTACTTATCAGGCAAATAATCGAGCTGAGCACTCATATTGAACAATACTTCTTGTGTTAATAAATGATGGTGGCATTTTGTTTCCTTCCTATTAACATGCCAATTCTTTCTACTGACATGATTCTGAATAGTGTTCCGGTGAGGAGTTCAAAACCCAGGGAGTCTTTTTGCAGTTTTCTGCAATATTTTCTAACGGACTTAAATTTCACATACACACAGGATCCTCATAGGTAACTTATTCATGACAAATACAGAGGGAATCTTGTGAAAGCCATAACAAAATTTATGAATATATGGCTTTACAAGGAAATGACATTATCAATTTTGATATATGGTATATCTTTATATTTATCTTTTATATTATTTATGTATTTGCTACTTTAATTATAACACCAACTTGAGGCAAAAGTTTTATGTTAGTATATAATACGATGTGTTGCACCAATAGGANAAAGTCGGATACTTTTTGGACATATGGTATATGTATTCCTGTGTATAACTGCCTGATGATGGTCTTGTACAACCAAAACATGTAGCAGCAATAAAGATGAAAATTAAACTAAGTATTTGTTGTGTTGATGGTAGACATAATTCCCATATATATATATATATATATATATATATATATATATTGTCACGTATTGGGTATATGTCACGCAACAAGTAACTTAACACCTTCTTTGATATAGTGAATTTATTGAACATTCACTCTTACAATCACACAATTTACAATCTCAATATTACTGCCATTGGCAGTATCACAAATACTTCTCCTGTATCCATTCACTCCAGCGAGTGCTAGACTGCAACTGGCTGGTTACTCTCTGTCTAATAACTCACTCAATACTACTGAATAGTGTTCACTGCTCGTTATTTAGCCTCGGCATGGACAACACAGAAAACAGTTACATGATAGGTACCGCTGTTGTCTGACACCATGTTTACCGGTGTTGCTAGCAACGCTGTCGAGAGTTGTCTCCTGCTGTGTAGCAACTGCGGTATCCCTTCGTAACAACACAGTCGCTCTTCTGCCACGTCACCATGGGGAGGGGGGCGCCCACCAAGCGTTGTGTACTGGTGGAAGGAGTGGGGGCATGTGACATCACTCGCGAGACCGCAAAGTTCCCGTGATCCCTACTTCCTGTTGCACCATCCATATCACAATATATATATATATATAT